TGTCCGAAAAAAGAATGCTCATGGTGCGCGGCATGGCATGTTGCAAGGCTCGATGTTGTTATGACGTGTCGCCTGAGCAAGTGCGAAAGGTTAGACAAGGACTGTACAGTAAGAATCCGGCGGAGCGAGCTGAGTGGTGGATGAAAAGTATTGAGGATTTCACAGTGAATGAGGGTGGACACAAACGTGTCCACCCTGTGGAGTTGGAACGTTCGATGTGCGTCAAGGCGTACTGCAATGTACTCGGTGTCTCGCGTAATACATTTTACAGCTACAAAAAGCGTTTCGACAATGGTTACGTGCGTTCTGAGCATGGCCTGACGGGGAAATGTCGGCCAACCAGTAAAACGGTCGCCATGCTTGCCAGCATGAGAACGTTCATCGAGTGTCATGCGGATAGCATGCCGAATGAGGTGGCTAATGAAGGTGGGGTTTCCAGACCGAAGCTTCGACACAGTCCAACTTCTATAAATTGTGGCGGAAACACTTTTTCCACGTTTTCCTCGTGCACTCTAACACGTTTACGAAGTGCGCCGTCTGTCATGAGCTCAAGGAACGTATACAATATGCTGCTCTTCCTCGAGATCAACAACAAGCTCGAGACGATATGAAAGCTCACCAAAGGAGGCAAGTTGAACACAGATTGGACTATAGTCGAGCGAAAACTGATTCGATGATTTGTCCGGATCAGAAGAAAACAACTATCCCCCATATTGGTCAGGCTAACTACTCGAAAGCACTTAGGCACGAGATGATGATGAAGACAAATCTGACAGGCGTCATTGCACACGGTAGAGACCCTAGTATATATGTATACACGTGGTTTCCGTATTTCAAACACGATTCGAACACGGTCGCTACTTGTGTTATGAGAACCCTTGTCGAGATTCAAGGGAGCGAGACGTCACTGCCACGATGTTTGCGCATTCAAGCGGATAACTGTTGGTGGGAAAACAAGAACAAGTACATATGTGTGATGGCTGCGCTGTTGGTTAAGTTCAAAGTTTTCGAAGAGGTAGAAATAGGTTTCATGCGGGCGGGACACACCCATACAGACGTTGACGCTACTTTCAGTGTTTTCTCGAAGAAATTGAAAGACATAGACGCTTATACTATGTTCAAGTTCTTCGAGCTCATAGAGCAATCACACAAAAAACCTCCTAAATGTATTTTCCTCGATACGATGGAAGATTGGATACGTATAGTAGACCCGTGCGTTGCGTCAGACATTACCGGTATTTCGAAACCGCACTTGGATAAATTTTTGATGGTTGGAGATAATCCGGGCATGCTGTACAAGGAGTTTTGCGATGACGACGAATGGTTGTCCGAGGAAGGTCCAATTTATTGGTTCAATTAAAACCCCGATGAGAGCTATGCAGGTCCTTCGTGGCTGTTTGACCCGCCTCATGTGCAACCCCGTCCTCGAAATGACTATTTGAATGGCAAAAATGGTGTTGTTCGATTCTGCGAGTTGTTGGAGAGTAGGCGCTCGACGTGGTGCACTTACAATGACCATGAGGTGAGTAGGAGAGAAAGAGCTTTGTGTTACTGGAAGGAGGTTATCAAACATGGCGATGAGATCATCGCCAACGGGCTGTCCTCACAACCTCAAGAAAGTTCTTGGCCACGACCACGGCTGCTCGAAAGCGGTCAACAACCTCTTCCTCGCAGTGTCAACATCGACGACAGGGAACCCCTGTTTGTTGGACGAAGAAAAAATCGCCCGAAGACTAGTTTTAACCCCCTCGTGCATGTTGACGTGGGCACTTTTCTTATCCTTCGCCCCTCCGACGATGATCTGTCCAGCGGTGTGCCAATCTAGGTGGGCAAAGCTCTTTGTCGGGTGGTTGTTGATTATAATTCGCAAAATTATAATCAAGTGCTAGTGGAATATTGATGCCGACTGGGAGAGCTAAGTCGCTCGAACAACTGTATGAGAACGCATGGGAAAAACGATGGAAAATGACTGAGAAGACACAATGGCAGGATGCTGACTCAATCACTTTCGGTTGGGAGAAACCAGTCCGAGGTAGAAGACCATTCACGACTGGACTTGTCATTCCTTCCAGTGTTTGATTGAATGCTGAAGCTGCACTTCTAGATCTGAGTCCTTCTGTTGAAGGGAGTGCAGATGAAGGGGACAAGGGCGACGAGTGCACGTCCGCCGAATAAATGTGAGGGAGTGAGATTTTTGAAAATAACTGTTTGGACGAACGAGAATTTAGACGGGAGTATATTATTTTTGCGATGATTCTGCGTGGCGAATTTTGTCCACGGTCCACGGTTGAATTTTTTAAGATGGTTGGTGATGGTTCGGCAATTTTCGAAGTTAAGTTCATCATGAAGGCGATTTTATTACTATTTTCACATTTCATTTTTATTTCTGTTTGCATTTCATGTATTGTGTAGGGAGTACGACAGGAGTCATGGACCATCAGCATGATTATGCATGTCCCATTCACCCTTGTGCATGCGGATATCAAGGTTCGGGAGGCGATACCGAAAGTGACCCGTGGATGACCGTCGTCCCCTTCTTTGACAAGCCTATCGATGCGTGGTCCGAGGCAGAATGGGATAGAGCCATCTCGGCAAGGAAATGCCCATGGCATAAGGACTACAAATTTGCTTCCGCAATGGAGTGGGGAAGTCTGATCAAAGTACCTCATTATGCCATTGGTGTCAGACAACTTCCGTCCCTGCGCGCCGCGCTAAGGCAGGAAGAGAATAACCGGTTTTACCTTCGTGTGGACAACGTAACGAGGTCACCTCGGGTGTGGTGTGCGGACTTGAAACAAGAGTTGTTGGACTGTGCATCCTACAATCCGTTTTTGAAAGTATATCCGCTGCRTGGTGCYGGGTTACAGCCAAAAGATGTGTCATATTGTTGCATACGGTTGTCTGTGGCCGGTTCCGACTTCTGCAGAGTGTTGTGTGTGGCATGTTCAAACCGAAAGCGGACTTTGGTAGACGCTGTAGTGCTAGTTTCTTGCAACAACCTTAAAATTTATGGTTGCAACATGGAGAGTTTGCGCCTTCTGTGCGAGAACGGACAATCCAATTTGGAGTTTCCCAGTCGAATTGATGAGGTTCATAAGTGGCATGAGGTAGAGCAAGTGACATGTTGTGTGCGTAACGCCATCAGTAAGTCCTTGGCAGGTGCCTGTAGGTTTGTAATGATGAAGTACATTTCAGTGTTCTCGAGGGTGGCGACGAAGGGACAGCCGCAAACCCTTGTTTTCGGGTCGTCTATGAATGCCTTATACGGGTTTGGTTCTAAAGGGACGCGGGGACATCGGTAGGAACTTCAAATTTTGTAAATGATAGCGTTTTTGAAAGTTTACATTGTTGCGGCTCGTAGCGTTTCATTTAGACGTAGTTCAATGTACAGTTCGCTTGTAGCGTTTAATGTAAACGTACTTCAATCTTGCATTTGCGATTTCTTGCACGTGTCGGTACAATGTTGAACTTTAGTTATCAGTACAATTTTTGACTTTTAATTTTTCATGGGTATGACATTTCTTGAAGTGAGACAGAATCCATGGTACTCACGTGAATTTCAGTTTGATATGACAATGTCATATCGGTTTATGATCTTTTGTTAAAGTGCGTCGGAATCCATACATAAACCATCTAGTTTCGCCTTCACACAATGTCATGTGTAGTACGTCTGATTCAAGTGTATTTCAATGTATGACAATGACATGTCAGTTTCGTCTTTAAAGTCACATAAATTGTCGAAGTGTGATAGACTACAAAATTATCGAAGTATCACAGTGTTGGAATTCATCCTTAACCCACACCGAACAGACTGAGTGTCACGTCTTTTAATAAGTATGTAGTACATAAATTATCGAAGTGCGATGGAACCCATAGTCACTGTACTTAAACCGTTATCTCGTTTGTTGTGTCATTTGTTTGTCGTGTGATTCGTTAAACTTTGTCGTGATTAGTATACATTTAATAGAGTTAAAGCAAAAATTATCGAAGCGCGACGGAATCCATACTAGACTATTAGTACTTAAATCATCCGTGTGCTTGTCGTAAACGTCCCACTTCGATTGAGTTTCAATAAATTAAGGGAAGTCACAATGTCATCTAAAAGAGGTTTGACTCAATGCTGACTCAAAATTGAGCAAGGTGTAAGGAAATCGAGAGTTCAACAATTCATGTTGTAACCGTAACGACTTTTAAGTTACAAAATTGACGGAAGTGCAATGGAATCCACACTCAATCCATCATGATCAGTAAGTGATTGCCTTGAATCTCCAGTTTAGATTCAATTTATGGTCTCTCAATTGCATTCTTCGGGTTCCTAAGTTTCATTCAGGTCCAAAATATAGCGATTTTAACATGAAATTAATAGCGTGCGAGTACGAATTTAAAGTATAATGTCCTATTTTAACGAATAACATGTTCTCTGCTCTTCTACTAGTTCCTCAGATTGGGCTCTTGACGATCCAAGGGCAGGATCTTTCTCGTGCCGTCGTCGCGACACGTGCCATCAACCATGCATCAGTGTAACATGAGGGTATATTCTAGACCTTAGACGTTCCTGGGGAATGGGAGCCGGATCATCGAGGGTGGAGGTGGCGGATGGTTCAGGGGGAGAGGGGGCATGAAGCGATTGATGGCGGGAGAGGCAAATTAGGAAGGGTAGCGTAGTGGAAGGAGCGATGGATGCAGGGGAAACGAGGGACCTCATGAAGATGACGAAAAGCGGCAATATAATCCTGGTAGATGGTGGAGATGGTCCGTCGCAAGGCGGCACAAAAATCTTCATAATTTTCGCAGGCGGGAATAGTCCCTGACACAATACAGTATACTTCTACGTGGTTATATTCCCGCCAGTCTGCGCTAAATAGGAGCACATGAAGGAGAAAGGAATCAATCACAGAGCGAGTAGTAACGTGTGGATAGACTGAGACTAGAAGGCGGGTAGCGTAGAGATGGTAGAAAAGGTGATGGCGGAAGGGACACCATCCATCGAGGAACGGGGGTCTATGGGGGAGGCAGGTGAGCATGAGGTAGTCACGGGGTCGGCGAGAGAACGACCGGGGACGAAGCCCGAACGTCGAGATCTTGATGTAGACGAAGGGAGGATCGGGACGGGGAGCCGGAGGGAGCTGACGATTCACTTCTTCTTCTTCTTCGGCTCCGTGATCCCTCTGTTGTGGTTCCATCGTCTTCCTCTTCTAGCAGCTCTGGATCACGCCACGGTTCCCCGATCGACAGATCGACAGAGGACACGTCTGTTGCGGGTCGCTTTCCCTCCGCGGTTTCCTGGTGCTTCCGTTTCCTCCACTCTCGCGCTCGTTTTCGCTCCGCGTCGCGCACTTCAGCCTCGAATCCTTCGCACTCTGATCCTGATAGCCCGCTTCCTTTGTCTTCTTCTGGTTCCACCCCCTCGTCCTGCGCCCGCGGCTGGTTTGATTCGTTGGCTGTCCCTGCCTCTTTATCCGGTACGTAGTCCGGATCGTCCCTTTCCTCACTCGATGACTCTTCTTCTTCCTCTTCTTCGTCCGCTCTCCTTATCTCCTTGTCCTGCGCCACGTTTTGTCTCGCAATCGGGTCCCAAAACGTGAGATCAGTAACGTCGACCTCCAAGTAGAGCGCCTGGGAGGAATAGAGACAATTGTCCTCGTCGATTTCCGTGCACGTTGACCACACAAGGTGCGGCTCGAGCGTTCGAGACAGCACGTGAGTGCCAGGCTGCTTGTCACTGTGCGACAAGATGTCCAGGGGCAGATCGTCCGCCAGCTGAGTCAAAAACACCAGCAACTCATCCGTGATCAAGGTGAGATTGCCCTCCTCCACCTTCCCGAACAGAAATCTCAGCAGATCGCCCTGCTCCGCTGTCCTCCAGGCTTGGATGATCAGAAACTCCACGCTGTCTTCTATGTGCTCCGGTCCTTCTCCGAATGGGGCCGCCTCTGACAAACGGAACTCTATCTCCAGTAGGCAGAAAGTGAGCTCGATATAGTTCTCCCACCACTCGTCCCACTTCTCCTCACTCAATAGCGGCGCACTGTTCTCCTTAACACGGTAAGAGAGGGTGGGAGCCCGCGCAAACTGCCAAAGGGTGGGGATGCTGGAAGGGAGGCCGAAATAGGAGACGCGACGAAGACTCATTGGGGCGGCTCGAAGGGATAAAGCTCCGGAAGCACGACCGCGGGCAAACTTTGATAGGAGCAGAGCTGGAGGTCCGTGTCATGCGCTGGTATGATGGTATCTCCTCGTCGAGCCAGAAGATCCGTCCACGCCGTCCTCACTTCCACACCCCAAGTGCGCAACGTCCGATAGATGTCGGAGTGATTCGCCGACGGGATCGCTGTGATATCCCCCGTAAAGACGACAACGACAGCGATATGGCTAATCCCGGGAGGGGATAGCCGTTGAAAGGCCGAGATCTCGACCAGAACGCGCGTAGTTGCTTCTTCTGCGAATCGGAACTCTGTCGCCGTGTAGATTGCCGTCGTACTGAAGAAAGCCGCAAACCGGAGGAGATCCGAGCATAGATGGGGTCGCTGCACTTGTCGTATGACACTGATTCGCCCCCGCGGAGTAAGAAGCCGCACGCCGATCACTTGCTCCGTCGCAAAGCTCATGGTGATGGTGTCGGGGTAAGAGAGAGAGAACAGGAAGGAGACGGAGAGATCGAAGAGAGATAGACGTTGTCTTCCCTATCGGAGGAGGAGGAATTGGATGGAGGCGAGGATGGAGAAGGAGGAAGGGGACGGAGGTAGGATACGTGGTGGATGATTAGTCGAGCCGATCGGCTGTCGGAGACTTCGGGCGCAAGTCGCACGGTGTCCACACCGTTTGGTCCGAGTTCGATCATGCGAAATCGCCCGAAGAATCGTGGCGCTAGCTTACCTTGGCGAGCACATTTCCTCACCTGCACCAAGTCCCCCAATTTGTACTGGGGCCGTGGACCAGCATTCCCATTTCGGGCCTCGTAACTTCGGACCTGCCGGCCTTGGGCTAGTTTGATCTTTTTCTGTCGTTTTCGGGCCAGCCTGGGCAGTGACCGTTCCATTAGCTCTAGGTGTCGTTTGGCCTTGTCCCGAGCCGTAGCCTGGTGGGCCGTTGGTTCAACATAGACTCATCCGGGAGGCTTGGTATCGAAACGCAAGCGACACTATTGGTCCTTAATTGGAAGGGGCTCAGCCCCGTCGATTCGTGGGGCGTTTCGCGATGGACCGCCGGGATGTGATCGACGATATCGGGCCAGGGTCTCGGATCCCGTGCCGCGATGTTTCGTCGCAACGGTGTCTTTATCATTCGGTTAGCGTTTTCGACACGCCCATTGGATTGGGACATATGGGGTGCAGTGTTCCGTATGGCGACGTCATGTATGACCAGGTTCTTTAACACTTCTCCCCTGAATTCCGCTCCGTTATCGGTCAGGATCTCTTTCGTATCCTGATGCATCCCGAGGAAATGGTTGACATATCGCGCGATTTTCGTGGCTTGCCGCGTGTGACAAGGATACGCTTCGATCCATTTCGAGAAATGGTCGACAAATACCAATAGGATTGAATATTCGCAACTATTAGGGCCAGGGGGCACCACTACGTCGGTAGTGTCCATGCTCACTTTTTGAAATGGCCGTTCAACAACCGTGGGCACTATCGATCTTGGCGGCTGAATCGGCGCCTTATCAGCGGCGCAGACTTGACAGTTGGCGACAATGTACTTTACATCGTCGCGGATATTGGACCAATACCACTCATTTTTGCCGATAACGGACTCCGTGATTCGTACGGCAAAATGGGTCGCAGTTTCCTCGTGGGCGGCTTCAACCCAGTCATACCTCATGAACGGATGCGGTACTACCATCCAAATCCCACTGCCRTCCGTTTTYYGTTTTTCTAATCTACCCTCTATCCATCGATAATCCCGAGCCCTTTCGTTGGCCCTCCTCCGATCTTCCTCAGTGAAATCCTGAAGGGGGTTACCTACTAGGGTGGCAATCAAGGCAATATTTGTCCATACTTCGGCCCTTCTAAACTTCCGGATCTTTTCCAATCCTTCTGACGTGCCATCCAAAAAGCRAGCCTCGGTCGGGATTTTGTTGGTCCGGCACAGGGGGCACCGCCACGGTTTACTAYCGYCTTTGTATTGGATGCACGAGCCATGGGCTYGTGCGACACATTGTCGACAATCTATCCATTCCGCATWYCCTTCCCAGTTAGGACGCATGGAGACCGAATAAACGCGGGAGATAGCTTCGCAAAAATAGCAAAATTTGTCAGGCAGGGAGAGGAGAGACGAAGAGGAAGGGGGGGAGAGAGGGGTAGTGGGGTTACCTCCGTYACACATCGCTACCGATTCGCTTCTTGCTACGTGGGAKAACTGCCWCYTGTCCGTAATTTGGCTCGTTAGTCAGGTCTGGCTCCTTCCAYAGTGTAATTTCCTCGCCCTTTGGCACCTTGGCGGGTCGATGCAGACGTGTCAGCCCGTCCGCGTTGCCGTGTCGCTCTGTCTTTCGATGGACGATATCGAAGTCGTATTCTTGTAATCGCACCGCCCAACGGCCAATCATGCCTGTGTAGTTGGTGAGTTTCTTCTGCGCCAGCAGAGGCTCGTGATCCGTCACGAGACGAAACTTCTGTCCGTAGAGATACGGATGGAAGTGCTAGATTCCCCAGACCACAACATAGCATTCACCTTGAGGTACGGAGTCGTTCCTTCGTTCGTCCGGCACGGTTCGTGACGCGTACTCGATGACGTGTTCGCGACCATCGTTCCCCTTCTGCGCTAAAATAGCGGAAATAGCTTTCGGTTGCCAGTCCGTGATGAGAATGTACTGCTTCGAGGGGTCCGGTCGAATCAAAATAGGGGCCGTTGCCAGAGCGTCTTTGAGGATTGCAAAGGCCTGCTGGCACTCCGCGTCCCAAGTGAGAGGCTGGCCCTTCCGTAACTGATTCGTTAGCGGTCGTGCAATCGCGGCAAAGCCCTTGATGAAGCGTCGGTAGTACGACGCCAACCCCAAGAAGGCTCAAACCTGCATCAGTGACGTGGGAACTGGGGCTTCCCTCACCGCCACAACTTTTCTCGAGTCCGGCCTCAATCCTCCACATGTCACGACGTAGCCCAAGAACAAAATTTCCGAGAGGAAAAATTTGTTTTTCTCAAGCGCAATCTTGAACCCAGCGTCTCTCAATGCACTCAATGTTCATTCGATGTGTTGCGCGTGCCCGTGATGGGTCTCCGAATAAACCAGGATGTCGTCCATGTACACGATTACGCAGAAGTTGATCATTCCCTGCTTCAGCCGTGTCTTATTGACGAAGTTTTGGAACGTCCTGTTCATCGCTCGCTGAAACATAGCAGGCGCATTGCAAATCCCCATCGGACACCGAATCCACTGCCACGTGCCCTCAAACAACACAAAGGCCGTTTTCGGCCAATCTTCTTCCCTTACCAGAATATGATGGAAGCCATGTCGAATATCAAACTTGCTGAAATAATTAGCACATCCAATCGCATCCAACAGATCATTAATCCGGAGGAGGGGATACACATCTTTAATCGTGACTTCATTCAGCTTGCGATAATCAATGCAAATGCGAATCGCTCCATTTTTCTTTGGTACTAATACTACGGGAAAAAACCAAGGTTCGGTAGTGGGTTCAATCCAACCGCTGGCTTCGAACTCCCAAATTCGTTCGAGAGCCTTTTTGCGTTCAATCAAGGAATAACAATAAGGTTTGCAATGAATCGGGGAATGACTTCCTGTCTGAATTTCATGTTGGATTACTAACGACAACTCGATGTCAGTGTCTGACACGCTAATCGCTCCTTGATATTTTGTTAGAATATCCGSAATCACCCGGTGGATTTCATTAGGTACATACTGTGGAACGTGCAGTTCGAAAGGTTGGTCCCAAATCCGAACGTCGATCTGYTTCGTATTTGCCTGKTTTGTCAAATCGGGTGGAGGCGCCGAGATGAACGAATGATCCGATCGCCAGGAGAAGACCGTGGCCATCATCTGAGCATCTTCTTCTCGGATTGCCACGTGTCCTTCCGGGGTAATCCCGTCACAGACATCYTGCCACKRCACTTCCTTCATTGCGATCTTTATCCCTAGTTCGTCTGTTTCYGCTTCGAAACGCCTGRGGGTTCCAGAGCGCTTGCTTCCTCCCCCAAGCGCAATAGTCTTACTTCTTTAGCSGATGTTAGTAAAGACCTGGGTAGTTCCATAATGTCATAATAATGATTTTTGTCACTATACCTGGCGAGGAGAGGGGTGATYCCTTCGTACARAGTTTGAGGGGGTTCCAAAGAGTCGACCATCCTCAAAATCTGCACGAGGGGCTCTCCCAAGATCATCGCCTTGGTCCTTTGAATTTTTTGGCTGGTGAGTTGCATCRTTCTCGMTATCGTTYTGGGCGGCGGGTAGTAAACACGTTGTCGTACCAATTTCGAGATCTATGGGTCGTCCTCATCACTGCTCTCCGCGTYATCAGTTGATGACTCCCTTTCTGCGGGTTCGTCCTAGGAGATCATGCGGAGGGTTCCTGTCATCATCGGCGAGACCCGCGGAACCGTGTTATTAGTAGTGCGAAGGGTCAATCGCATGGGCACAACGTAAGGTTTTCCTCCTGTATTTTGGAGGATGATCGATCGTCGTTCGAAATCTAGGTTTGCTCGTAATGTCACAAGAGCGGGAACTCCGAAAAGAACATCGTACGTATTTACATCTAGTACTACGACATCCCCAAACGCGTGTACTTTTCCTAATCGGTAGGCAACGTTGGTCATTCTCCCCACAGTTTTAATTTTTTCCTCATCTGCCGAAACGAGCTGATCTTTCTTGGTGAACATGATCTGATCGTTTTTCCTCCCTGCCCTTTCAACCACTCTTAGTGAAATAGCCAACACAGCTGCTCCTGAGTCTATAATGGCGTTATAAGGAATTCCCCAAATTTCTATATCGCCCTCTGCCGATTTCCACGGAATTGGTTTAATCCGTAGGAAATGATCGTCTTTCTGAATTAATCCTAACCGTATCGGAGTCGGAGTGTTTGTTGGGTCTTCTTCCGGCGCGGGGCCTTTAGCTTTGATGTTCGGTGCTCAGGCGAGATCGATTCGCTTTACAGTGCAGTAACATTCGCTCGTTGGCCGATCGGAAGGGGAATCCGATGGTCCAAAGCTCGGATGATTTTTAATACAATGATCTCTCCTGTGACGAAGGTGGGTCCTCCTGACTCCATTTCTCCTAAGGACGGTCGCCACTCCGCCAC